ATTCCTTTCTATTTTGTTCATTCTCGTTAGCATTTCATCAAATCTTTTTTCAAGGTTCTTAGTTTCTTTGCATTGGGTTAGAACATGTTCTTTTAGTTCACAAAAGTTTCTTACTACCCACCTTCTGAAGTCTGATTCTGTCATTTCATCACACTCGTTCTCCATCCAACCTTGTTCCCTTGCTGGTGAGGAGTTGTGATCCCTTGTAGGAGGAGAGGTGTTCTGGTTTTGGGTGTTTTCATCCTTTTTGCGCTGGTTTCTTCCCATCTTTATGGATTTATCCGTCTTTGTAGTTTCTGGCCTTCAGATTGGGTCTCTGAGTGGACGTTCTGTTTGTTGATGATGAGGTTATTTCTGTTTCTTTGTTTTCCTTCTGACAATCTGGCCCTTCTGCTGTAGGTGTGCTGAGGTCCACTCCAGGCCCTGCTTGCTGGGGATCACCTGCAGCAGCTGCAGAACGGTAAGGGTTGTTACCAGTTTTCTTCTTCTGCTATCTTTGTCCCAGAAGGATACCCGCCAGGTGTCAGTCTGATCTCTCCTTTATGAGGTGGCTCTTTGGATATACAGGGGTCAGGGAGCTGCTTGAGGAAATGGTCTCTTCTTTATAGGAGATTCAAATGCTGAGCTGTGAGCTCCGTTGTTCATTCAGAGCTGCTTGGCAGGTACGTTTAGGTCTGCTGCAGCAGAACTCATAAACCGCTTTTTGTTCCCAGTTGCTGTGTCTCAGGGATTTAGGGCTTTATTTCTGAGTTTCTGTTATACTGCTGCCTTCCTTTTTTTTTTCCTTCAGAGCTGCCCTGCCCAGCAAGGAGGCAGCCTAGTCACTGTCTGCCTGTAGAGGCTTTGCTGAGCTGCTGTGGGCTCTGCCCAGCTGCCGAGTGAGCTTCCCTGCAGTCCTGTTTATATGGGTGTAGTTAGAACTGCCTCAGCAACGGTGGCCCACCTCTGTTAAGGCGGAGCCTCTCTGCAGTGGCGGGTTGCCGTGGCAACGGCGGGCTGCCTCAGCAATGGCAGGTTGCCTTGGCAACGGCGGGCTGCCTCAGCATTGGCTGACTGCCTCCGTAGTGGTGGGCTGCCTCGGTAATGGCGGACGCCCCTCCCCTTCAGAAGTGGACCGTCCCGGGTTTAGCTGCGCTTGCTGTGAAACTCTCAATCCAGAGAGTTTCTGATTGCTGTTCTTTTGTGGGGGTGGGACCAGCGGAGCCTGATCGCCTGGCTCCCTGCCTCAGAGCCTTTTTTAAGTTGGTGTTCCAGTCGCCTGTTGAAGAGGCGCCGGGGTCTGTTTGTTTTCCCCTGCGGCCACTCACTGTGCTGGCTTAAACAGCAGCACTGAGATTTGTTAGCTTTTTTTTTTTGCCCTGGAATCTACTGTCCTGGTTCTCTGCTCAGTCCCCTTTTTAAACAGATGAATGGGCGACTTCCTGTGGCTCCAATTGCCAGCCTAAAGGGCACCTGGACCAGTGTATTTTGTACAGAGAACCGCTGCTCCAGGGCGCCAACAAAGCAGCCGCGTGGGGCAAAGCAGCGGCGCCGGCTGGCACAGCCGCGCTGGTGACCCGTGGAGCTCCTCCGCCTGCGAATTTCCTAGTCTGTGGGCAATAAAAATGCAGTGTCCACTCACCCTCTGCGCTTTCACTGGGAGCTGCAATCCTGAGCTGTTCCTAAACGGCCACCTTGGATCGATCCACCGGAGATTTAGTTTTGAAGCACAGGTCAGCTCCTGATTACTGCAGAGAATATTCCCAGAAAATATGCTTACCAAGTACAGAAGGAGGAGGAGTACCTTTTGAGACATGTCATCTCATTGGGAAGAATTTCTGTGGGTTCATTTGATACAGAACAATCCCAGATGTCATCGACTAAATGGGATATTTAGATACTTTATAACACCTAAACTGTGGAGGACATGTTTCAGGTTTTTTTTTTTTTTTTTTTTTGGGACTGGTTCTAGACTAGACTTTCTAACCTCTATAAACCATTGGGACTTGCTCACATTTGAAATGTGTTTTTATTAGGGAGAAAATGGCACAAAAAAGGTAGAATACCTCTTAAATAAAAGCATTTGTCTTACTGAACTTTATTCTGTTTTGATTATAGATAGCATCAGTTGGGCTTTTCATTTAAATAAACAATTAAATCTTACTGATTGCCCATAAATCCTCAAATTCAGATTTCATTCTACTAAGAATGTAAATTCCTGAAAGATTCATTCATTTATTTATTGGTTCATTTATTCACAGAAAGTCAATTACTATAATAGTCTGATTTAGGAGTCCTAGACAATTTTTAAAAGCTTGGTTTTGTAAATATAAATGGGTTACTATTTAATAGATTAACCACATAACCTTGATTTACTTGCCTAATGAATAAGTAGCTGGACCAGGCAAGTGGAATACAGATTATTTACTGCTATATATTTAATGCTTTCAACAAATATTATAGTCATTTTTTAGAACTAGGCTTACATAAAGTATAGTTTTCCAGAAGACATTAGGTAATCTAGAAAGTAAGTTAAGAAATACTTTACTTAAATGTAATTGATTTTAAAAATACCATCTCTAATTCCTCTTGGCAGCTGAAAACAGTATCAAGTGTAATGTAGTTTGTAGAGTAGCAGGTAAATCAAACTTGTATTTTTCCTCTGGAAGTAAACTTTATTCTAGTTGTAAGATAGTGGAGCTTTTTTTAGCCAAGCTTTCAGACTAAAGCCAAACCTAACAGATAACAAAACTTTCCCTAATCTGATATTTAAAAAAATTTGCCATTTGTGAATTCATGAGTAGTAGATTATTAGATTATTTTGGGATGCAGTTATTTCTGTCTATTAGTCTACTACTGAAGCAGCATGTGAGGGGAAGTCCTGCTGCCTGTTACAGCATCAGGTGTGAGAATTAATCTATAAGGTGAGTATGCCATTTATATTTTAATATGGAAAATTTCAGTTACTTTATTTGTTGAGTCAGTTTAAATACTGATGGCTATAACCCCATTGCTGGATATATGCCCAAAAGAAAGGAAATCAATTTGTTAATGAGATAGCTTCACTTTTGTGTTTGTTGCAACTCTGTTCACAATACCAAGATTTGGAGGCAACCTAAGTGTCCATCAGCAGATGAATGGATAAAGAAAATGTGGTACTTACATACAGTGGAGTACTATTCAGCCATAAAAAAGAATGAGATTCAATCATTTGCTACAACATGAATGGAACTGTACTATATTCATTATGTTGAGTGAAATGAGCCAGGCACAGAAAGATAAACATTGCATATTCCTACTTATTTGTGGGATCTAAAACTCAAAACTATGGAACCCATGGAGTTAGTAGAAGGATGGTAACAAGTTGCTGGGAAAGGTAGTGAGGGGGTTGTGGGGGATGTGGGGTGGTTAATGCGTACCAGAAATTGAATGAATGAATGAATGAATGAATGAGGCCTAGTATTTGATAACACAACAGGGTGAGAATATAATTGGATTGTTCTTAACACAAAGGAAAAATGCTTGAGGGGATGGATACCCCATTTTTCATGATTTGATTGTTATGCATTGCATGCCTGTATCAAAACATCTCATGTACCCTATAAATGTATATACCATGTACCCACAAAAATTAAAAATAAAAATTTTAAGAAAGCTCTCTAGGTGATTACAATGTGCAGCTAAGCCCCAAGACTGCTGTTTAAACCAACATCATTTGTTGAACTAGTTGCAAATAAATGTAAAAACATTCGCTGCCAATAAATAAATATAGACTGATGGCTGTCGATGATGGGAAATAATAAACCATGACTTTCTGCTATTCCTTTAAATATTAAAAATGAAGTATATTTAATTTTATCTTATGTATTTCAATAGCACACTCTATGGAATTTCTAAAAACTCCATATTTTCTCAGCAAGATCCTAATTAGTTAAAAATTTAGTATGTCAGTTGCTCACAGTAGATTTTCAAGGTCAATATTAACCCAGTCTGCATTTCAACATTAGACTGTACTCTAGTTCTAAAAGAGAAGAAATGAAATGACACCTCAAATGGCTTTTTGATCCTCTTAACAATCTCTCTTTTTATGAGACACAAGAATTAAAGTTTATCAGCCTTTTTTTTTTTTCATCTTACAGGAACACCAGTGTATTCAGTAGCATGGGGCCCTGATTCAGAAAAGGTTCTTTTTACAGCAGGCAAGCAACTAATCATTAAACCTCTTCAACCAAATGCTAAAGTTTTACAGGTACTTCTCAGTCATTTGTAAATTGTTATCAGGATCTGCCTGACTGCTAAACTAGAGGGCACTTACTTAGGAGTCTCTTTCTTCTGGGTGGTCTTTTTACAGTCTGGCCTTTAAGTATATGGTTTAATCAGCCTTTATTACAGAACAAGGAATATCTTTATATTTCCAACAAGGTTTGTTTTTCCCTTATTTCAACTCATTTTGATAATGATACAGCGTAGTTTTGCTAATAAGAACAGACTTTGGAGTTAACCACTTGGGTTCAAATCTTAGGTTATAAAATATCGTTGAACGTCAGCCTTCTCATCTCTTAGTGACACTAATATCAGTTTAACAGGGTTGCTGTGAGGATTAAATGAGTTAAATTGCAAAGTGTAAAGGACAATTCCTAGCATACAGTAAGCACTCAATGTAGAATACCTGTTATTATCTGTATTATTGTGCTATTATAAGTTATTATGCCATTTCTACCTTTTAGTCAACAAAGGAGGCCAGGAAAACATCATAGAATGACTAGGACTTGAGTAAGAGATTTGTTGGTAGACATTGACAGGCTACAGCAGGTATAGAAGTGTTTTAACAGTTGAGTAAATGTAGATTTTGGGGAATAAGGACATAGAAATGACTTCGAGGTTCCATATTAATAACATCTGTATAGATTATGCTGTATGTATTTTACACAGTCCACATACATGTACATTTTTACAGTGTGCAGAACACTCTTCTAGGAATTCCAGGGTCATGCAAGAATAGAACATACAAGCCCCTGTCCTTAGGGACCTAAGGTAAAGAATTTGGGCAAAAGGAAGAAGCTGGGAAAGAGGACTAGTTCTGATGGCCCTTAGTCAAAGTCCTTCCATGCTAATTACCTATGCTGAAAATGTGCTATGAAATTTATACAGCAAAATAGGCAAGCTGAATCTCTGAATTTATACCTTTAGTTTATAGTTATGTGAATTTGTTTAGGTATCTGCAATTAGGTTTGTATAAATGAAACTCAGGAAGCTGATTATATCACCATTGGTCAAGTAAAATATGATTTAATGGTTCAGCTGAACTGGTAGGCCAGGAGGTAGTGGAGAGAAGGAAAAATTCAGCTAGAGAGAAACAGGAGTTAAAGTATAATTAGTAACTTCATGCAAATTATCTGTTCCTTTTGGGAGACTAAAGCAACTGCGATTCTTCTTGAACATAAAAACATATTCAAATTAGGATTGTCCACAAAAAAGTGTGTTTAATTAATTCTTGCTTGTGGAATGTAGTTCAGTTGTATATACCTCATTTCCTTTAAGACCTTCTCGACACCCAGAACTTGGCTTTATAGTGAGGACATTTTTATTTATTCATTGAATAAAAATGTAGTGCATACCTATTATATACCAGGCACTGTGGTATCAAGTAGTCAAAATGAAACAGAACATAGTTTCTGCCTTCAAGGAGCTTGTTGTTCAAAGGAATTTTACAAAATGCCTAATAAATAAGTAAATAAAAATTATTATATGCATAACAGTATGCTATTATCTGTAATATATGTTGATATCCTAAATTACAGTGTAAGGAAAATTTAAATCATATTTTGTTCATAGATCTTGAATAGGCAAATATTTATTTTGTTCCTTTAAAATGAAACTCATAAGAGTCTATGGCTGGGCATGGTAGCTCATGCCTGTAATCCTGGCACTTAGGGAGGCCGAGACAGGTGGATCATCTGAGGTCAGGAGTTTGAAACCAACCTGACCAACATGGCAAAATCCCATCTCTACTAAAAATAGAAAAATTAGCTGGGCATGGTGGCAGGCGCCTGTAATCCCAGCTACTTGGGAGGCTGAGACATGAGAGTCGCTTGAACCCGGGAGGTGGAGATTGCAATGAGACGAGATCGCACCATTGCACTCCAGCCTGGGCAACAGAGTGAAACTCTGTTAAAAAAAAAAAAAAAAAAGAATTTGTATGTATATGTGTAGCGGTATATATTGTTATATTTGTCCTTGAAGTGTATTTTAGGATGTTGAATTAATTTGACAGTTAATTGTAAGAACTATTGCTTTTCAACATGTATTATCAAAACATGTATATCAAATGTGTATTTTTGTATATTTTGAATAAACCAAGTTATGAATTGTTGCTTATTCTTAGAGCTTATTTGGCTTACATTCAATACTTTGTACTGTATACATTAAGAACAATAGATTGAGCAGGGCCTCAGGGGAAAGCCCTTAAAATCTGCCACCCTTTGAAATGGATTTAATTGACTCAGACATTAAAATACACCTTATAGTCTCCAAAGATGGTTCTTTTTTTTTTTTGAGACAGAGTCTCATCTCACTCTGTCACCAGGCTAGAGTGCAGTGGCACAATTGGCAACTCCGCCTCCTGGGTTCAAGTGATTCTCCTGCCTCAGACTCCGAGTAGCTGGGACTACAGGCGTGTGCCACCACAAGCAGCTAATTTTGTATTTTTAGTAGAGACAGGGTTTCACCATATTGGCCAGGATGGTCTCCATCTATTGACCTCATGATCTGCCCGTCTCGGCTTCCCAAAGTGCTGGAATTATAGGCATGTGCCACCTAGGCCAGTTAATTCTGTTTAGTTACATTATTCTGCCTATGGTAACATTTAATTACATGTGATATAATAGCTAAATGGGCCCCATTAATTACATTTAAGAGCAAGACATCCATGTTTAAGAGTGAGACGTTCATGTTTACTTTCTAGATTGACAATTTCTTCATGATTTAAAAAAACACCCATGTCTATGCATTGTATGTACAGTCAGCATAACCATGGGTTCTGCACTGATAGATTAACCATGAATCAAATATATTTTTTAAAAATTGCATCTGTACTGAATGTTATAGACTTTCTTCTTGTCATTATTCCCTAAACAATACAACTGTTTACATAGTATTGCCATTTTATTCATATAATAAGTAATCTAGAGATGATTTAAAGTATATGGCAGGATATGCATAGGTTATATGCAAATACTATGCCATTTTATATTAGGAACTTACGATTTTCATATCAGTGGGAGGTCCTGGAACTAGTCCCCCACAGATACCAAAGAATGACTGTATACATAGAATATATACTTGTCTATGGAAAACATCTTTTTGTTACATGGTAAATACAGCAGAAGTTTCTCAGAGTAGTCCAGTTGTGAACCAGACACATGAAGGTAAAGTGAATGAAACTTAGAAGAATATGATGAACAGAATGAAATGAAGAGAGCATTAAAAATGTTTGTGCAGAAGGTTTTCTAAAAAAAGGTTGGAGGCTAGACATGGTGGCTTACACCTGTAATCCCAGCATTTTGGGAGACCAAAGCAGGAGAATTGCTTGAGCCCAGGAGTTTGAGACTAGCCCAGGCAACACAGCAAGACTTCTCTACTAAAAAAAAAAAAAAAAAAAAAAAAAATTAGGTGGATGTGTTGGCACACGCCTGTACAAGTCACAGCTACTCAGGAAGCTGAGGCAAGAGGATTGCTTGAGCATGGGAGGTTGAGACTGCTCTTAGCCCTGATCATACCATTGAACTCCAGTCTGCGTGACAGTGAGAACCCGTCTCAAAAAGAAAAAAGTAAACAAGCATGAAGGCAATAGCAGTAATGGGATCTGCTATATGAAGGAGACAGCAAGATTTGGATTCAGTTGACATTTTTGGAATACATAACATATTCATTCAGTGTTATCGCACAAATGTCAAGCTTGAAATAGTTCAGCAGCAAGTGATTTTCCATCTGGAGTCCAGGCAACTGAGGAAATTCATAAGGTTGGAAGCTATATAGTGTATGTTATAGGTGCTAACATAAGTGTAAACTACAAATGAAACAAGCAAATGAGGTATTGTACAATAGCTATAAAAGGAAGATAGGGATCCCTGAGAAGATGACAAGGGAGTCATTAAAAAGAGGCAAAGTATATTTTCTTATAGAAAAAAACTTAAATGCTTTTAAAGTTATAATTAATATCTTTTTTTTTTTTTCTCACAGTGGAAAGCTCACGATGGCATTATTTTAAAAGTAGATTGGAACTCAGTCAATGATCTTATTTTATCTGCTGGTGAAGACTGTAAATATAAGGTATGTAATGTTTAGATTTATCACTTGACTGAAATAATCAAATTTATATGAAAAGTTTTTAGTATATAAGAATGTTCTTTTACTTTAGCCATGTCTTTATACTCCAATAATTTAGCAAATTATTTTATAATGTTCAGTGGTTTCTAAAAGCACAGATGTCATAAAGACTCTCATTAGCCTGAACAATATAGTGAGACCCTATCTCTAAAAAAAAAAAAAAAAAAAAAAAAAGTTAGCCAGGTGTGGTGGGACACATCTGTGGTCCCAGCCACATGGGAGGCTGAGGTTAAGTGGATCACTTGAGCACAGGTGGTTGAGGCTGCAGTGAGCCATAATTGTGCCATTGCATTCTAGCCTGGGCAACACAGTGAAGCCCTCTCTCTTTCAAAAAAAAGAGAGAAAGAGGCTATCTCATTGATCTATAGAGTTGGGTATTTAATAAGTAACAATATCAGCATAGCCCCTAATTTTACTGTGACTCAATTTAAATCAATTCAGTGCATTTTAAAAAATCAACCGTGCTGGTTTACTAAATATTGATTAATTTCAGGTCAAAATAATTTATAGAGAAAAATAAGGTTTAATATATAAATAACTAGAGTTAGAGGCAATTAAATTGAAGTAAATACGTTTAGAGAAAGTAGGTAGAGCTCTTACAGGGTGAAAAAAATTTAAGCAAAATACTAAGCAAACTGGGTATGGTAGCTCATACCTGTAACCCCAGTGCTTTAAGAGGGCAAGGCAGTAGGGTTACTTGAGGCCAGGAGTTGGAGAACCAGCCTAGGCAATATAACAAGACTCCGTCTCTACAAAATTTAAAAAATTAGCCAAGCGTGGCAGCATGTACCTGTCAAAATGTACTATTAAATTTAAAAGGACTTAAAATGCATAGATTTTATGTTCAGAGATTAAGTAAAATCTGAAAATTTTGACATTATAAAATAGTTTCTTTTTCAGATATTTAGGCTTCAAGAAATATAGCTTTGTTTTCCCCTTGTGTGATGGTAAAGATGTTTAATTGCTAATAAATAAGGTGCTGATTTTTAAATTTTTATTTGCTACCTTACTGGAAGACAAACGTTTTTCTGCGGTGTCTGTTATAAAATATTTTTATTTTATTTATTTATTTTTCTTTCAGTTTTGGCAAACTTCTCCCTGATATTATAAAAGATTTTTTAAAATTGCTTTTGTAGGTATGGGATAGTTATGGCCGCATGCTGTACAATTCACAACCTCATGAGCATCCTATTACTTCAGTTGCCTGGGCTCCAGATGGAGAATTATTTGCTGTTGGATCATTTCATACTTTACGCTTGTGTGATAAAACTGGGGTAAGTTATAGTGGTGAACAATCACAGATGTGCTGTCATAAATGTGCTAATGCACAACACACATGGTTCTCAGTCTTTAAAAAACATTTTCAATGGATGCATTTGGTTGAATCTTTCTAATTTGTCTTCTTAATATGCTGGTTCAATCAATTCCAGATATATGGGACCAAAATCTGTTTAAGTTTGAAGAATGGAGCACATTCTCTACTATTTTTTTTTCTGGAAATACTTATTTTGAGCATGATTGTGATGGAGGTAAAGTACTAAAATTTATGCCCATTCAATATGGAGAATTCAGGTTTAAACTTTTTTTCTAAGCTTTCACTGACTTGAAGCTCATAAACTTTTTTTTTTTTTGGCTGTCAATATGTTTCATATGAAATCTCAATTGCATATTTTTTGTAAGGAATTAATAGTGCATTTGAAAAATTGTCATTTTAAGACCAGAGGACATGGCTGGATGTGGTGTTTTATGCCTGTAATCCCAGCACTTTCGCAGTCCAAGGAGAGAGGATTGCTTGAACCCAGGAGTTTGAGACCAGCCTAGGTAACAAAGTGAAACTCTGTCTCTACAAAAAAATAAATAAATTAGCCAGGCATGATGGCGCATACCTGTGGTCCCAGCTACTGGGAAGACTAAAATAGGAGGCTCACTAGAGCCCAGGAGGTGGAGGCTGCAGTGAGCTGTAATCATGCTACTGTACTCTAGCCCGAGTGGGAATTAGACCCTGTCTCTAAATAAATAAATGTCCAAAGGACACAGTTTTCTTTGTTAAGAATTCATATTTGAATACATGCAAGAATTTTTCCTCATAAGAGAATATGCCCTCCTTCGTACAAATTCTGTTTAGAACCTAGGAAATAGCCAAGCTCAGCAGCATTTACTCATTGTGCTTGAATGAATTGTTCATTGAAGTACTGCCATAGCAGCAGCATTATGTGGTAAAAAGAGTTTGAGTGGGGCTATTTTATACTATTCCTAATTGAGGAAATCATATAATTGTTCTGTGGCTTATTTGCCCCTAATGCAGAAAAAGACAGTTAGAATTTTTAGAGCTTTTAATCTGTTAAGATTTCTGGTTACTTGTTTTCTATCACGTAAAACATGAAGTCCTTGGCCTGGCTTTAGAAGCTCTTTGAAACCTGGTGCCGTAAAATCCATTCAGTCTTTTCTCCCACAACTCTCTGTGTTCAAATCACATTGAATACTGGCTCTTGAGCCTTTCCTGCCTCTTACTAACATCCCCACTCATTTTCTCGTTTCATGAAATACTTTGATTTTTGTCTTAGACCATAGTGAGTTCTACCCATTCTTAAAGGCCTGTCTCATGTTTGACTTCCTTTGAACATGCCTTCCATTGACTCCAAAGTTTGTTTGTATATTTTTCTAATTTCTTTTCTGCTAGGTCCCTCTTTTCTCAATTAGAACATCAGGATGTTAAATCATCCCATCTAATCACTTAAGAAGCTTTTACTTCTGATTTTCCCTATCAGTGATTGTAAATCTACAGAATGCTTAGTCTCATTTTCACAATGTATTATGTTCTTACATTGTCAAAATAGTTTAATGTATATTATTTTTGACTCCCTTGTCTATAAAATCCCATAGTTCAATAATTCTCTATTATCTGTACAACACAGTAGATATTCAACAATTTATTAATAAGCCAGTTTAAACATAATTTCACTTTATCATTTTGATTAAAGTATTTAAAAATTTTTAAAACTTGAATTAAAGATTTATCTCGTTAAGCACCAAGTCTTTTTATTTAGGATGTTAATAACATCTATCTTTTATTCAATAAACATTAAATATATACTACTCATCAGACAGTGTTCTAGAAACTGGGGTTATAAATAAGAAAAAGATATAAAGACTTTCACCCAAGATGTTGACAGTCTAGTGGAGAATTAGACTAAAAGACTTACAGTAAGTATGATAAGTGCTATACAAGAGGTTTTTTCATACAAGCACTGCAAATATGTGGCAGAGCCTAACTCAGCCTGTGGGACATTTCTTCAAGAGCAGAGCCTTGAAGAATTAGTAATTCTCCAAGGAGACAAAGTTGGGGGAAGAGAGTTGCAGGCAAAAGAAACCTCTTGTGAATCAAAGTATAAAACAGTATGGTGCTTTTTGTGCAATATCTGCAAAATTTTCATGGCATAATACCAGAAGATAATTCAGAAAAGATAGATGGACTAAAGTGTTTGCTATGTAACAGAATCTAGATTTCAGTCTTTTAAAATCTAATTATGTTCTGTGGGGGCTCTTTTGGGGCTGCTGTGGGGTGGAAAAGAGGTGAGGGAGTTGAGCTCCTGATCTCTCTCACTACCTGCAACCAGAGCAGCTCCAGTTCTACTGTTTGATCATCTAGTATAAGATTTTCTTTGACCAGCTGAAATCATGAAGTTGGAAATTGAGTATATTAGTCAGTAGAGAGCCATGGATTGTATGTAGTAACATGATAGTGTTTAAATGTTGGAAATACTGCTTTGAGGTCAAAGGAACAGTGATTCAAAAGAGGGAATAAACAAAGGTAAGGAATCATAGTTTATTAGAAAAATTAAAAGTTTAGTATGGCTACAATAGTTTGGAATTTATCTTAGGGGCAATGATGAGTCACTGATCCATTTTTGATAGTTACCTTATTAGATTTGGCATTTTGGGGGAAGTATACTCTAAGGTCATCATAGAGGATAGATTAAAGGTACACTAGAGGCAGGATGGCTAATTAGGAGCTCTTATAGTACAGGAAAATTATGATGTTGGCCTGAATAATAGGGAAGTAATGGAGATGGAAAGAAATAGACAGGTTCAGGAGATAAATCCTTGGTGTATAAGTAGAAAGAGTCAAGAATAATTACCTGAGTATCCATTTAAGTATCTTACTGTTTGGAGGTTGGCCTGAGAATAATGCCCTTTCATGCCGTGTTCAATCATTACAATAGTAAACCAAGTTACTTAAATTTCAGCATTCATAAGCATCACCTGGATATTACAAAAATACACATTCTCGGGCACTGTTTGCAATATGGAGAATCAAAATCTCCGAGAATGAGGCTCTGTGAAGTGATATTTTTAGGAAGTTTCCTAGTTGTCTTTATGCAGGTTGTCCTTAAAGGGCACTTGAAAGAAGATGCAGTGAGATGTTTGATATTCCTTTTGAGTTCTGAAAGGAGCAATGCTTACTTACTCTATTGCAGAAAAAAGTACCTTGAATTTGGAGATGAAATAGTAAACTATAATTCAGGTGATACTAAAAAAGAATAGTATAATAGAAAAATATATTTCTTTAAAATCTCAGGTAATTTATTCTTTTGATTTGTTCTAAGCATGTTCTTCATTTAAAATTACTGCTGGGTTATGTCTGCCATTTTGCTGCAGCAAAAATGTTTATAGTATATGAATCATGTGTGATGATATTATCTATTCATATTCTAGACTGATTCTTTCAGAATAACTAGTTGCAAATACTATTCAAACACTTAACTTTCATTTGTTGAATTATCAATAGATTTTTTGTTTCATTTTCTGCCTTGTGTATTTCCACAAAAGTATTTGGAATTCATTTATGCAATCATTTCTTTTCTTTTTACAGGGTTTTTATTAATCCTGTAACATATATAGTTATCATTTAGATTTTTATGAGTTACTTAATATTTAGATGTTTATGACTTCATGTGTTATTTATCTGTGTGTGTATGCATATATATTTATATACATACTCTGTATATTTGTTCAAACCTTTCTGGAGGATATGTTGATATTATATATTAAAATACCAAGAAATATACGTATACTTTAACCCAGCAATTCCAGTTCTAGGATTTATCCTAGGTAACAATTAGATAAAGAATGCTTAGTGGAGCATTATTTATAATTTAACAAATGAAAAGCAATCTAAATCTCTAACAGCAAGATATTATTTAATTATAGAATATAAGCCTTATAATAAATTATTATATAGTTATTAAAAATGATAATTACTTTTATAATATCATGAAAATGTTTTAAAATATATGACCACAAGAAAAAAATAGTGACAGACTTTATGCATATCATGATCTTATTAGTACATATCTGTATAAATGAACAGAAAAATAATCTGACACGATATAACAAATTTTAACAACGGTATATCTAAAGTTTGTTGATTTGGTCACAGGTGGTGATAGTGATTTTTCTTCTTTTTTGCATATCTACATTTTCTAAATGCACATTTTCAGATAAAATGTACAGTTTTTGAAAAGGGAAAAATAGCTTTATTCTTTAGTTTTCACTAGATTATGTAATCATGTAATTCAGCCTTTCTCTTTTAAAAAATTATTGTTTTTTGAAGCTATCCAATTTATTTTAGAAATATATATTAGTTAAAACATGGGAAATTATTTTTAAGGTGACATCTGGTTTTTTTTTTTTTTTGAGACAGTCTCACTCTGTCGCCAGGCTGGAGAGCAGCGGCATGATCTCTGCTCACTGCAGCCTCTGCCTCCTGGATTCAAGTGATTCTCCTGCCTCAGCCTCCCGAGTAGCTGGGACTACAGATGTGCAGCCACCACACTGAGCTAATTTTTGTATTTTTAGTAGAGACGAGGTTTCACCGTGTTGGCCCGGATGGTCTCCATCTCTTGACCTTGTGATCCACCTGCCTCGGCCTCCCAAGTTCTGGAATTACAGGCGTGAGCCACTGTGCCCAGCCTGGTGACATCCGTTTTCTTTGGAGAATAATTCTACTTACTAAGATATAAATGCTATTAGCATTTTTAGTTAAAAAATTATCTAAATATTTTACACTTTTTTTTTTTTTTTTTTTTAAAAACGGGGTTTCACCATGTTGGTCAGGCTGGTCTTGAACTCCCTACCTCAGATAATCCGCCCGTCTTGGCCTCCAAAGTGCTTGGATTACAGGCGTGAGCCACCACACCCAGCCGAATTTTTTTTTTTTTAAACAGAGTCTCACTCTGTCGCCCAGGCTGGAGTGCAGTGGCACAATCTTGGC